GTTACTCGCTGAGGTAATTAATTGTTATTTGGGTTGGAATTATTGCTAACAGTCCCACTAACATTTGCGTTGTTAGTGTTAAGGTGAGTCAGAACAGCTGTCACGACAGCTGAAACTGCAGCTTGAAAGGTAGTTGCATCAATCAGAAGAGTTGGTGTTTGGTTGATGGGTTGATCACTTTTCTTCGGCGACATGATTCTGTTACACAGAAAGAAAATGAATTCGTGAGTGATTACGGTTGAACCTAGATGTATTTCGATCGATCATGTAACGAGTAGAAGTATGTTCTCGTGGGTTTGACCTACATCCCTATGATGTAGTCCTAGTATAGAGTAGAAGTATGTTCATATAATGGTCACAAGATGTTTGTCGTCCAAAATGGGTTACCATTGGTTGGTAAATAACATGATCCAACCTTTGAACATAATTGGGAATGATCCTAGAGTTAAATTACCCTAGGCCACTAACTTGCCTAGAGTGGGTTTCAGATCTACTCCAATGATAGTATGATGAAAGTATTTGAACAAAGAGTGACATAGAAGTTAGTCGACTGTCAATATCAATGATATTCATGATGTAATAAGTTTGGAAAAAAAATTGACCTTGTAGAAGCTCTTACATCATATCTGGAGTTCAAAAGTCTTTGACAGCATAAGGCCTAACTACAAGTACTTACAGTACAAGGTAGTCACATAGAAAAGTGCTACACAAAACATAGAAAGGAACACTGTTCTTTAAAAGCACGAAGGAAAGTAAAGCATCTCATACTGGCGATGGTCACCCCTATGGTGAACCCTTAGCTCAGCTAGTTGATGTTCCATATCAAGTAGGTATCTTTCGTGCACCCTCTGGCGTACTCGGAGCTCTATGACTTTGGCTCTAGTTTTAGCCAGTTCTTGTAGCAGGGTCTCATGGTCTCTCTCTCAGATATTTTGCAAGCATTCTCAAGGTGATTGGTGTGGATGGTATGCATTCCTTCATTGGCATCAACTTCTGCGATACGATGGAGAGCTGTCCTGCCCTGAATCTCGTTTCGGGCAACTCTATAGGCCATGATTGGTAGAACTCTATCTACTAAGCTTCCTTCTCTTAAGTTGCGGAAGCTTCGGTCTCCATTAAACGGCATAGGTTAATCTTGCTCTTCGCTCCATGTTTCCAGGTATTCTACCTAAAGAGGCGTCGGGCCATGAAAAGCCGGATGAGGGTTAGGATTTGGAATAGGAGTTAACGGGGGTAGGTTCTCAACTTCGGGTTCAGAGTTATCATCATCCGAAAGGTCTTCAGCATGGTGATCATTCAAAGGGATCAGATGATCATTCTCTGGTTCTTCTCCAAACCATCCAGCATTGCCTTCGTTCGGAAGGTACGGGTTGTCGTGTGGATGGAGTCCAGCCATGTTATCTCTGCGAGAATTGGGGTAAGGAAATAATTATTAGGAGAACTAACTAGATAATTATTAAGTAATCTTCATTATTTACTTTACTATTTGTAAATTTCATACCAGTTATATGTAATCAAAACATGATAGGCCTTCGAATAAGTGACCTTAAATCCAAATTCGCAAGGAACAGGGGTAAGCAAAATTCACATATTCTAAGTCTAGGACATCCTAGTTACATATAACCTTAGTGCATCCACTTAGCAACTATTGACCTAGTAATGAAGATCCTTTTTATTTCTCAAGTAAGTAATTATAGTAACACAAAATACTCCAATAGTATTTTAGACTTATGTTTTGTTCTAATGTTCTCATTGTGGTAGTGTTGGTAAGTTTTTAGACTTGTTGCCACATCACAACCATTCTACGGCATATGTTAATCACTCCTCGGACCAACATCATTGATCAGGCTATGCCACTTCCAAGACTGACCATACATCCCCGATCTTATTTTTGATATTCAACAATCGTAATACTTTTGTTCTTGTCATTGTGACACAGATTTTAGTATGAATGCAGGTATGTATACTTAGTTAAATATTTTATTATTTAACAGTATAAACTCTTGGTCAAAGTATTTTAATCTTGATGTGTTTATAGTTTGTATATATTTTATGGGATGATATACTTGATTCACTATAAACAATGCTCTAATACCAATCTGTCACAGCCCCAAACCAGAACGGCGGAATCGTTCGAGGCTGGATGACTTCATGTACAATATCATAACAATGCAAAGTAGTAAACAAGCAACAACATCTTCCATTTCATTAATAGTAATAGTTTAATACATGTGTGTTATTTAATAGTAGTAAGACATTACAACAAGTACTCAAAATAAAAGACGAGTCTTGACTGCTCCATCTTCGCAAAACCTGGTCATCGTACATGTCTACTGGTGACCTGAGAATACAAGTTATTTTGAAAGTGTAGGTCAACATTTAAGCTGGTGAGTTCATAAATATGTAATGTCATTGTTTGTATAAGTATGATGAAAACGTTTGAAATTGTTCAATGTAATTATTTGTATATGTTTTGAAAGCTCCTAGAAAATCCCATATTTTCTACTTGTATAAAAGTAGCTTTTATCGAGGCCTGACTATTTTTGAATATTTGTTTCTAAAAGTCCAACATTTATCCATAAGTGTGTGGTAGTTTAAAAGTTCCAAAACTATAACTCAATGATGTTTTTCATGCATAAATAATAGATTTATGTATGTATAAAATCGCCAAGGCACTTGATGACTCTGTAAACAAATATATTTTTAATACTCCTTGTGAGTCTTTTGTCTAAGTAAAACTTGTTAAAAGGGTGTTTATCCCAAATTGTGAACATGCTAATAATATTCCTTGGTATAGTTATTACCCCCTGAGCACGATTGAGTTAAATGTATATTACTACGTACAAGAGTTGTTGTTTCTGCGGTTTGTAGGTTTCTCATAACCATACTAGACGTAGTACTAATGTCTACATTTGTCTCCCTAGACCTACTGGTCTAACTGGAGCTTACAGTTTAGGTGCGGGTTCGTCAAACCCGTATAGATCTATAGACAGATTCACGCTCTCCCTCCAGGAGACTCTGGTTAAAGATGGGGACTTTCGTTTTGCTACTAACAAATCCATATGTCTCACATGATTGCTAACAACAAATTCATGAGTAATATAATGAAATACATTATGTATGAAAAGATTATCAGTGTTATGAAGAATGCACACTTGTAAATAAAACGTTGGTATAGTTAGATCCTGAGGTGTTCTTATACTATAGTATTTTAGTATGTTCTCTTTGTCATAGTATATTAGTATGTTCTTTTGTCATAGTGTTCTATGTTATAGTATTTGTATACGATAGTATTCTCCTAAACTATACCTATTATAGTTTACTAATAGGTTCCGTTATAGTATTTGAAGAAATGGATGTACACCTTTGCTACTCAAAGGTATTGAACTGATTCAATAGTACTTTTATATCAATATATGTCTACATAATATATAAGTTTAAAAGGAAATTTCGTAACACCTTTGAATGAGTCTAATAATAAATACTGATGACTTGATGTTAGTGTATACAACGATTTAAAAAGTAGTTTGTTTGATAAGACAATGTAAATTAAAAGAAATCCCTTGCTCGAAAACACAATTATAAATCACATGTGATTGATTATACAACAAAGAGTATAACAAAAGACGTATGTTTTTCACATGATGATAACCGTGTGTTTACTTGTATTACCCCCTTAAAGTTTATAAAATGCATTTATAAAACATTTGAAAGTATAGTTATAGGGGTATGAACTCACCTGATAAGTGGTGAATCGAGCAACATTTCGTTTACAAGAAGGATCGTTCTTGACGTAACCACGTGTCTTGGGTGAAGAAACGAGCTTCATGCGAGCAGTACTTTCACTGGAAAGAAGTTAGTTTCTAGGGAGATTCAGATGGTTGGGACTCGCGTCGTGTGTGAGAGGTGTTACCGGGGTTTCGGGATGGTTTAGAAGGGTTTAATAGCGTGTTGAAGTAGGATAGAGGATGGGGTTGAGCAACCAAAATCGAAATGCTTAGATTTCATTATATAGTCACAATTTTGAGTCTCACCTCGTGTGTTTTTCATAACTCACGTCGTGAGTTTGGTCCCGAATCGTCATGGCATGCGTCAATTGTTAACTTGCTCTGAAGGGTCAGTCTGGCAGCTCACCTCGTGAGTTTTTTTGTTCACCTCGTGAGTCACCTGATAGCATGGGGTTTTGGACCCCAAACTTGTAAAATCCGTAACTTTCACGTACGAGCTCCATTTTTAACGTTCTTTATATGCAAGCATAGCTGAAGATATGTTCTAAAACTCTCGTTTAGACTCCGTTGGCTAATTTTGAATTTATTTTTAATTAATTATTTTTAACGGGCCGGGACTAGAAAAGTCCGTTAAAAATCCATAACTCCTTCATCTGATGTCCGTTTTCATCAGACTTTTCACCGTTGCACTACTATTGTTGATGTCTTTGATTCTTATTTAGGTTGTATCGGCCAAAAATCTCTCGATCTCTATTTCGAGTTTTTAGCTGTCTACTGCTATATCCGGATCTTGGAAAAATCATAACTTACTCATACGAAGTCAGATTTGGACGTTCTTTTTACGTACGTTTACAGTTTAATGATATCTACAACTTTCATTTAGATACTTAAAGCTAAAAACTATTGTATCGAAACTTCATGTTTTTACATCTATCCTTATTGATGATTTTGTCGGGAATCTTAGAATTGTTATAACTTTTTCGTTATAACTCGGATTTTAATGCTCTTTATATGTACGAAAACCTTGATACAATTCCTACGACTTTATTTAACCCAAATAATATTTTAGGAAAGTTAAATTTTGACATTAATTTGACTAGTGTTACATTATATTGTGTCGAACTATCGGGTTGTCACAAAAAACGTGTCAGGTTTGATGAATTTGGTAAGTTTACAGGGAAGCATAATGTAGTGTTTGTTAGCTATTTGGGTGAGCTTGTCTGCGAGAAGGTGGGATTATGTGCTCTTTTCTAGAAAAAAGTTAAACCGGAAATGAAGGACAAACTAAGGGAAGAGATTACAGTAAATATTTTCTTCAATTTTTTAATCTGTATAACATATTACATGTAAAAATCAAGTATTAAATACTAACATTTTCATTGTTTTTTATTTTTATTTTTATTTTTATTTTTATTTTTATTTTAGCGCTATTTTGAGGTTCATGAAAGTGGAAAAGAATTTGTGATGAATAGACTTGGTATTCTTCTATGGAACTTCAGAAGAAAGTTGTACGCAGATTACATCAAGCCACATCTAGGCAATCCCAACAAGCTTGAGAAAATCTCCGTTCGTTATCGTGCACTAATCACTAAACAAGATGATTGGAACAAATTTGTGACTTATACGCAATCTGAACAGTTTAATGTTAAAATATTTTTTCAAAAAGTATTCATTTATTTATCATAAACTGGGTTATAAAAGTTTGTGACAAATATTTTACTTTTATTTCACAGAATGTGTCACAAAGGACTATCAAAGCGAGAAAGATTTCAAAGTATGCTCATCAGATGGGATGAGGGGGTATACTACTCTTAGGAGGAAGTTGGTAAGCTGGGTCTTTAGCTAGATTAACTTCATAGCATTTTATTTAACATGCTTTTGTTTTTATACTCTTTAAAATTAAATTTTTTTTATCAAGATTGAAGAGAATGTGATTTCAAAGGAGCAAATGCCCCCAAGGTCAGTTATTCGGTGTAAGGGGCGTGAAAGTAAAGGAGGATTTAAGGATGAAGATGTTAAAATCATGTTCAATAGACTTGTAACTTCACAACACTTTTATTTTTCTTTTATTTTAAATATTTTAATCATTGTTATTAAGATAATAATTATTAATTTTTCTTTTGGTAGATGGAACATGAGAAGCAGATAAAAGAAGGACAAGTAAATGTTGAACCAGGAACGGATGCCATGACCTTATTTTTGGCAAGGAAAAGGGTGGATTTTTAAAGGGTGTCGGCACGGGAGTCACTTACAACGAATATTTCAATGTTCCTCGCAACAAATGGTCATCTAAGGAAGAAATTAAGGATCTTAAAGTTGAACTGTAGAATGGAAAACATGAGCTTAAGAAAAAAGATGATGAACTCAAGGCTTTGTCTACAAAAGTTAATGAATAGGATCAAACACTAAAGCTAGTTTTGGCTCATCTTAATGCAAAAGGAGCTGACTTTCCAAATCTGTCTCATACAATTGTAAGTAATCTTGTTAAAAATATATGTTGTCAATGTTAACTGTAAATTGCATTTCTTTTACACATTTTCCCTGTTTCTTTATATTTTCTACGGTATTTCAAGTGAGAAGATTGTACAAAGTAATGAAACGTCTCCTTTTATTCTCAAAACCAATGATCCTTTTAGTCTCAAAGTATGCTCATCGGATGGGACGAGGGGGTATACTACTCTTAGGAGGAAGTTGGTAAGCTTGGTCTTTAGCTAGATTAACTTCATAGCATTTTATTTAACATGCTTTTGTTTCATACTCTTTAAAATTAAATTTTTTTATCAATATTGAAGAGAATGTGATTTCAAAGGAGGAAATGCCCCCAAGGTCAGTTATGCGGTGTAAGGGGCGTGAAAGTAAAGGAGAATTTAAGGATGAAGATGTTAAAATCATGTTCAATAGACTTGTAACTTCACAACACTTTTATTTTTCTTTTATTTTAAATATTTTAATCATTGTTATTAAGATAATAATTATTAATTTTTTGTTTGGTAGATGGAACATGAGAAGTAGATAAAAGAAGGACAAGTAAATGTTGAACCAGGAACGAATGCCATGACCTTATTTTTGGCAAGGAAAAGGGCGGATTTTAAAGGGTGTCGGCACGAGAGTCACTTACAACGAATATTTCAATGTTCCTCGCAACAAAGGGTCATCTAAGGAAGAAATTAAGGATCTTAAAGTTGCACTGTAGAATGGAAAACACAAGCTTAAGAAAAATGATGATGAACTCAAGGCTTTGTCTACAAAAGTTAATGAACAGGATCAAACACTAAAGCTAGTTTTGGCTCATCTTAATGCAAAAGGAGCTGACTTTCCAAATCTGTCTCATACAATTGTAAGTAATCTTGTTAAAAATATATGTTGTCAATGTTAATTGTAAATTGCATTTCTTTTACACATTTTCCCTGTTTCTTTATATTTTCTACGGTATTTCAATTGAGAAGATTGTACAAAGTAATGAAACGTCTCCTTTTAGTCTCAAAACCAATGAACCTTCAGAACCTGTAACACCAGTATGTTATCATCTTATTAGATCATCGTTGATATATATATATATATATATATATATATATATATATATATATATATATATATTGGTACTAATTTCTGATTTTTCATGTTGGACTTTAAATTATATAGGTTATTCCAAAACCCACCAAAAACATGTTCAAACGAAATCTGCAACTACAACTCCCGATGCAGAATTGATTTCCATGAAATCTGCAACAGTAGTATATACTAACCTTACAGTTTTCAATAACGTTTATTTAATCTTTTATGAATATATACAGTAAAGTCCCAATATTTTCATCGATTTGACATGAAAGTCCTAAACTTTATTTTTTTGACCGAACACTAACATGTTCACCTTAAATTGTATGTGTCTAAAATATATCCAATAGTCTTGATTCGATACCAAATTATCCTTAATTTTAACAAAATGTGTGACTTTTATAATACTTATGATTTTAAGTCACTTAATTGTGTGTCTCTATACGTTAGGTTATAGTCACAAACGTGGATTGTTTTTTATGACGAATAATTAGCAATTCGTCACATATGAAAGTAAAGTACTTGTCACCATTTAGAAAACATGGTCACACTCACCATAATTAAAAGTTTTTCAAAAGATAAACAATAGTCTTAATAATATTTAAACTGTGTGACTATATGTTATAAAACAACTACACTAAAACAACATGAATGTCACATGTTGATGATATACAGTCACCATGTTAACTAAATATGTGTGACTACTAACTGCTTAATGCTACAATATTGGATATTTAAGGAACAAAATTCCATACACATTTGCCACACTTTTGTACTACGACCACATGTTTTCATAGCATACAGACACTACATTTTAAAGTGACCATAAGACCCATACGATGGCTTCACCTTCCGTCACACTTTTCGGTGAAAATATAAAATGTCACTATTCGCATATAGCCACACTTTTTTTTGTGTGACTATAAGTCATTTTTCTTGTAGTGTACATTATTTATGTGGTTAGATTCATATGTGATTAGATTTGTATAATCACAAGTGATTAGATATATTTAAGCACATATGATTAATTTGGATAAAGATCTGTTTTAGTGTTCTTGGTTCAATATTTCTTATCATGTATATAATCACATGTGATTATATGTATCTAATTACATATGATTTATATAGATAAGATTCATTTTTTACAAATAAAATTATATGTGATTATAAACAATTATTGAATCGAGAAAAAAACAATTATTGAATCGAGAACGTGAAAATGAATCTTAGCCATATAAATCATATGTGATTAGATACACATAATCATATGTTATTATATGTATATAATCACATATGATTTATGTGGAAAATATTCATTTTTGTGTTCTTGATTCAATAGTTGTTCTCATGTATTTTATCACATGTGATTATGCATATTTAATCACATATGGTTAATGTGAATAAGATTCAGATTCGGATTCTCAATTCAATAGTTGCTATCATGTATTTAATCATATATCATTTTATATATTTGATCACATAAGATTAATATAGACAACGAACAAATATTGAATCGAAAACACAAACATGAATCTTGTGCACATAAGTCATGTGATTAGATCATATAATCACATGTGATTAATACACGAGAATTATAACATAAAACAAGTAATGCCTACATAATAGAAGAGTTAGTGTAACTCACCTCCTTGAACTTGAAAATCAACTAGTGTGAGCAATATGAATCCTTTCCTTTCCCAGAACCTACACAACAATTATAACATTATTTAGCTTGTGCTTTGTTTTATTAATCTTAAAAAACTTATTTATATATTTTCTTATTTTCTATTTGGTTGTAGTACTCTTTTTGGGATCTGTTTTCTTACCTTTCAACGCATTATTAAATTTTGATAAAATAATATCAGTAAATTTCCCTCTTTTATCTTTTTAGAAATATAAAGACCTCGTTCTAATGATTTTTGGTTGATTTTATATTAAATTTACAAGTTAATAAGATTAAGCTGTCACTTTCTAGACCAATAAACACGCTTGGAATAAACTGTACCAATCTACTAAGAATTAAATTGGTCCCTTTTTATATTGGAAACTATACATAAATATCTAACTATAAGATTTGGAATTTTAGCATTTGGAGTTATAATGAATTTATTATGATTTTTTGAAGACAATGCATGAAATATGTGACAACATGGACCAGCCTGAGAAGATTGCCAATTTTACCCCTCAAGGAATTGGAATTTCGAAATGTGATTCAAAGTTTGAAGAAACTAGACACACTAAGATTTCCAAAAAAACTAAATCTCATGATTTTTAGGTGTTCTTATTGAATTGAACGATTTTTACAAGTTCGAGGACAAATTTAGGAAAATTGATCATAATAGCTTTTAAATCATTTTTGGTGTCCCTTTAAGGACATAATGGTTAAGCCTTAAGTTTATCACTTTTAACATGATTGTTGGTTACTTATTAGTCTATTGAGATGTGAAATTTAATTTAACATAAGGGCCTTAATGCTTGGCTTGATAAGGTTCAAAGTTAAGGATTTTCACATAAAAGGGTACTTTTACACTTGTTAGGTTCTTTCAGACAATATGACAAACACCTTGTGTACATAAAATCCTACAATGATAATCAACTCTCTAATAAACTCCAATCTACCCCTTAGAACTTACTATTTTCAATAAAAACAATAGAACTTACTGTTTTCAATAATAACAATCTAACTGTACACATGATTCCTCACAAAAGCAAGTAAATGAACAAGCAAGTTCATAATCCATCAACAACAGGAAAATATACCATAAATTTTCAAATAAAAAGTCTTCTTATGTGAAATCAAGTATTAGACACTCAGAAAGTCATTCATTATAAGCTTAATTTCATGAATTTCATGATAAATCGAGTCAATTTAGGTTGAAAAATGCAAATGTAAAGACTTGAAAAAAAAATACTACCTGGAAGCTCTCATAGAAAGTGTTTGTAGACATTAGTAGATTGAGATTTGCAGAAGAAATAGTTAAAGATGAGCTTTGTTGATAAGAGGCAGAAGGAGGTGACTTTTTGAGGAAGTGTTTTGCTACCTGAGGAGATAAGAGGCAGAAGGAGCTGGTTTAGGAAGAGGACAAAAAAATGAAGGTAGTTTGGGGCGCCAGTTTTGGAAAATGAGAGGAGTTGATTTCTGGTAAGCTAACGAGTGGCATATTAAAAAGGATATGAATGCAGATCTACAGAGGTGGTTCAGGAGGAGGAGATGGATGAAGGTGGTTTATTAAGAGGAAAAGTGGAATGAGGTGGCTTTTGACGGTACGAGGAGTAGAGGTGGAGGGAAGAGGAGGTGGTGCGGTGCTTTAGGAGGCGGCAGTCTGAGATTGATTCGAGATCAAGACACCAAACAGATCTAGAGAGAGTGAAGAAGCAGTTTTCCAATGATTCCGACGATGTTAGGGTGGTTCCGACGTTAGTATGGTGATTCCGGTGTCATTACAGCAATTCCGACATCATTACGCTGGTTCCGATACAGGTCGTTGTTGGTGATGGTGGTTCTGATTACGCAGATACATATGTAGAGAGAGAAAGAGGAGAGTGATGTGTAGAGAGAATGTTTAAATATTGAATACACTACAAACAGGCGTGTTTTTTCAACTCCGCTAAAAAAATTTCTCAAATGTTCTCACGGGAAATATGTTCTCATTGGAACATAACTCTCTCTC